TACTAAAATAAAGATATACACGACTAGTATACAGCGCCGTATTTTATTTCATTTTTTTCCAGGTCGATATAAATCTATAGTATACATCTGTAGGTACTACATATAAATTATAAATGATATAACCACACCTTTCACGAATGTGCCCGACTCAAAGTTTTCAGAAATTATTAAATTTCTGCGRACGATAACCTTGGATCTGGTGTTTGCAGTTAATGCGTACTTGTATGTGTAGATATCGAAACAATGAAACGTACCTATTATATATTATAATTGATTATATAAACCATATTCTAAACATCACATTTACGTACAGAACTATTGTTACCTATATATGGCTTAACAATAARCAGCGAGAAAGCGAGTACCTACCTACATGGTTTATTTTATACGACAAACTAAATGCGGAAACCGTTATAATACATRAAACCAACCCGTATATTTTTTTGCTAATTTCTGTGAGCATAGTCATTCGATATTTTTAATATATAACATTATATACATATATGTCATATTTTTTTTAATGATTACTATGTGCATTCTGTGACGGACGTCAAATGCATCTGCACGCCTCTTGTTTTCGAATGTCTGCCGATGTTTACACGGTACTCATACCCAATTCTCCCTTTGAGTAAATAAATCGGCTCTGGGGCCTTCCATGACAGATGACATTGTGTCAATATAGGCACACACATTCTATTATTTCCTGCTGCAAGGGTCATACGAATGCCGCCAAAGTTATGTGTATATATGCGGTGCATGTTTTTTTATACGTATGATGTGTATAGGGTAACGTCGCCACTCGACATAATAGTAATAATAATAATAATAATAATATAATATACGACAATTGAACAGGCTCATATAGTCATATAGACATATTCCACTATAGTCCTGCAGTTTATATTTTTATCGATAAATCATTTAAAATAATCTGCTAAATTAATATCGATCATCATTTTGCACAGTTAAGTTTCACTATTATATTATTATGTACCTACGTATAATATAATAAAGATACCTATACATGTTTAAATATAAAATATTGTGTATAGGTATCCCGTCATCAGTATACAATAGTATTTTATGTTTATCGTTTTTTATGTTTTCAACAGTATAATCACGACTATAATGAATAATATAATAATATATAGGTCGTGATCTATGAATTTAATAATTAACTTATCATGGTCAATTTAAAACACCATAAAATTCAAATAAACTAAATATCAGTAGAATTTTTTAATGTTGTTCAGGTCATTTTTTTCACTCTTGGTCAATATGTTAATTATTTTATATATGTACTGTTTTTTTCATCATACAATACAAAAAAAAACCATACTTCTACTCTATATAAAGTTATGTAATAATTTCATTTTAATTGTTAACGACCGTTTATCACATAAAAACAAAATAAAGTACTAATCGGAATTATTTATTAAGCACTCTGCAAGATACTGTAAATTTATTGTTATAATAAGTACAGAGTACAGATCACTGGATTGCGTATAGGTAGTAGCTAATATACTTGCCATTCTGTCAAACCTATATCTGGCTATAATAAATATTAATTATAAATGATATCATAATATAAGAAATAATATTATATAATAATTATTATATACCAATATTGCAGTCTTTACATATTTTATCATTTGAAAAAACAATCATAAGCTATAAAATTATATGTACCTATATATGATTTCCTAAAAATATACTTTGTACTTCTATTATACACATATTTTATTATTGGATGAGCATCAACTACATAGGTTATTACTTTATTAGCTTTAACCAAAGTATTACATTTTTACAACGATACATGTTATTGTAGATTTTTTTAAGGTATAAAATTATGTTTTGGTAGTTTGTAAAAGGACCAATTGCTTCGTACAGGTTGTCAGGGACGTTGAAGTCCTTCGTAGTTGCGTTGAAGTTTGCAGGGCAGTGGACGATGATATATTTGACGGAGTAGTTTGCATTGTGTGTTCGGCATAGGTATGAATTTGTCTTTGCAATAAGGTTCCGTTTGTGAGTTTTGTGAGGCCAATTCTAAGTCAATTAAGAATTCTGTATATATCTGTATATATAAGTGTATTTCGGACAGAGATCAATTCTCTTAATTTAATATTTCCGTGGTCGTGTGCCGTTATGTGTTTTATGGAATATTATACATATAACCCTTAATATAATAACATTTATTTATAATTTTATGCTGTTTTATGTATTTTATCATGTTAAAAGTTATTACCTATTTGGGAACATTAAACATATAATTGGTATAATTCTAACTCACAATGAAAAACGATGACAGTATTTATATTTAATTTATATGTTATAAACTATTCTTTTTTCATTATACACTTACAGCAAATATATAATTATATGTGTCAACCTGTTCTGATTTGTGGGGAAGTGTGGAGGGGTTACCCATATGAAGAGGAGGCAGGAATTCTTTTTGCATATTAATATTATATCTTTCAAACCTTTAAGTTAAATTTAATAAAAAATATTTAAATAATAACAATACTTACTCTCTATATTTCACCAAAATGTTAACTTACAAATTGCTTTTTACAACACCATTCAGTATATTATATATAGTTTGTATTATAGTTGTCGATATTATTTTATATTTTGTACAAGGTATAATATAATAATATAATGTACTAATAAGTATGATGCATCAGCTCATTATATATTATAGTATGGTGTCACTAAAATGGTTAGGTTAGGTGTTTTTGAAATTATAATTGTTCCTTATCCTGTTGATAATTTAACAATAATCGATATTATTATAATATTGCATA